TTTATTAGTAGAGCATATTAGTATATCATCAATATAAACAATGAGAAAGTCACTAAACTTTTTGAATATATTATCCATTTTCCTTTGAAATATTTGTGGTGCATTTTTTAAACCAAATGGCATAACTAACCATTCATATTTTTCTTGAGGTGTACTAAAAGCTGTATATTGTATACTATCTTCTTCCATTTTTATTTGCCAAAATCCTGATTTACAATCAAATTTGAAATAATATTGTTTTCCTTTTGTAAGGTTTATTAGAACTTCTTTATTTGGTAAAAAGTAACCATCAAATTTAGTATATTTATTTAATTATTTATAATTTATTACCATTCTAGCTTTTCCTCTAACCTGCTAAGAATGTTTCATAACCATAAAAGCTGGACTACTATGAGGTCCATTACTGGGTCTAATTAGCTTTTGTTCTAATAGTTCTTTTATCTGAATTTTAAATTCTTGCATGTCCTGTAAGGTATACATCATTGGTCTCACTCTTATTATAACATTTTCTGTTAATTCTATTTTAGTTTTAGGATGATATGGTTTCCAAAATAATAATGGGTTTTCACCATAAATTTTCCCTAATTGTTCTATGATTTTTTCCATACTTATCTCTATTTCTGTTTTTAGGATCTTTTTATATGATAGTTTTTTATTTTTAATTTCATCTTGTACTATTGGTCGTTTTTCCCACTTATCACCACGCTGGGCTGGCTGAACTCTATAGGGTCTAAATTCTCTTGGTATTTTTAATAGATGTGCACAAGGTGTTTGTAACATTATCATGTAATTATTTTGTTTGTAATATTGAAATTGTTGGATAAAATCATTTCCTAATAATATATCACATTCTAACTTATTATAATTATATACTTTATTTATTATAACTTGTTTACTACCAAGTATTATATTAACTTTTTCAGCACTATCAATTATTTGAGTACTTTCTCCAGTCACTCCTGTTATCTTTATTTTACTATTTTTATTTCATGATTTTATTAAGAAATTTTTAAAAATTGTTATATCACTTCCTGTATCAATTAAAGCACAAGTTGTTATATTCGTTTCTACTATAGTAACTTGTATATATACTGCCAATGGAAAACTAATTTGATTATTCATCCACTTCCTATTCTACATAATGTAGTTTGTCCTTTATGAGTTATATATAATCCTTGTCTTCTTATACTATAATCTTCTAATCCATTTAAGAAACTCATTCCTAATAATAAATGAGGTTCAATATCCATACTTTCATCTAAATAACATGGTACTAAAAGATCAATCCCACATATTTTTATTGGTACTTTAACTTTTAATTCTGTGATATATAGTTGTCCATCAAAATTCCTATATTCATATGGTTCTATCTTGTAAGTCATTAATCCTTCATTTTTATTTGCAGCCATATGACACTCACCAGCTCCTGTATCTATCAATATATTTGGTCCTTTTATATACTTTCTACCATTGAAATATTTTCCTTCTATTTTCATAGTTCCAATATTTCCATAAGGTTTTATTTCTTTTATACCACTAGTTTCTCCCAAATATTCATTTTTATTAGGTAGTCTAAGACTTTTTGATTTTTTTATCAACCTTCCATTATGAAATGTTATTTTATAATTTTCTTCTTCTCTTAACTCTGTTATTTCAGGCTTATTTTTAGTTATATTAAATTCATATTCTTCTGGGATAAGATTTATTTGTTTGTTTGGTTCCACTATTTTACTAATATCCTTACATTCCTTATGAATTTCTATGTATGGTTTATTAGAATAAATATTTCCATAATTAGAATTAGTAAATGTATATAATGCCCTATATTCCATAGTCATAATTTGGTCTCCTGGTTCCATTATATCATTTCTATGTAATTTGAAATGTAATCCTAAGACTTCATTAAAGTTTTTATCTTTCAATGAGACACAATATTTTAGGTAACAAGTAAATATTAACTTTTGATATGCTAAATTTCCTTCTATAGTTCCTAAATGATCATCTTCCAAATTTATAATTCTTCCATCATGTAAACTTACAGTCAATGGTGAATCTATTCCTTCCCTAAATAAGGATTTAAACATTATTTGTATTCCTGCTAAATAAACATATTGGATCTTTTCACTATGCTTTTTACTTATTTTTTATAATAATTCTGATACTGTATTTTTTGTTAAAAGGTTTATTTTATGTGTTCCTTGAGTAGCTCTAACATCTATAGTTTTTTCAATCTTATGGCTGTATTTTTTCTTAAAGTTCCTATATTTTTTAAACTTTCTATTTTTATATTTTCTTTTATTTCTTTTTTCAGAATTACATCTCCATCTTGTAGGTTTTTCCATATCTTCACAACATATTCTTGTTAATTTTCCTGATTTTTTCAGTAATTGTCTTTGTTGACATATATATGCAAGTCTTTCGAATAAAAATTTTATTCTTGATCCTAATGTTTTAGGTATTCCTATATTTTCTTTAATATATTTTTCAAATTCTATTTTAAAATATATTCCCCACGAACCTGGTAATTTATTATAATACATGTCTTGATATACTTCTTGATTCTCATTACTATAAAATTGAGTATAATAGTATTCCTTGAATTCACAAGTATATTCTTTAATTTTACACATATCACAAATTGTTAAATTAATTAACTTAACTCTTGCATTATCTTTTTCTTGTATTGCTTCTTTTTCATAATTTCTTAACCAATTTTCTCATAAAAATTCATCTGCAATATATTCTACTAATCTTTCTATTCCTAGTTTATCTGATTTTATTATTTCTGTTTGTACATTTCTTTTTATTAATGATTTTGTATCACTACTAATTCCTTCCCACCAATTTCTAACATTTCCTTCAAAAGATGCTATTAAAAAATATATTCTTCTTTCAGTATTTTCCCATTTATCATCTTTATTATATAAAAAGAATAATATCATTGAATCTGCCCAAGTTATTAAGGCTTTCTTAGTATCTATTTTGCAATCTAAGTCTAATTTTGTTCCTCCATGGTTAACAGGTTTATCATAATTATTATTTAATTCAAATCTATTACTATATTTATTTCCTTTGGACGGTTGTTTATCCCTTATTTTATCATAAAATTGCCTATATGATTTATTATACATCGAAGCATAGCTTTCATCTGGATCTATTGATTCTTGTTTAGAGGTTCCAACGGGATTAGGTCCTCCTCCAGTATTCATTAAGATCTGGTATTCATCATCTATACTTTCTAAACTTAAATGATCAAAATTATCTATAAGTAGATCTAATTCTTCATTCATCTTCTTTGTCTTGATTTTCTTCAATTTTTTGTTTACCTAATATTTTTTCTCTAGATTCTTTTTCTTCTATTATTTTAGGTAATATGTTTTTTCTAAACTTATCATCTATGCTTCCTGTTTCTATTATTATATTTTTTCTTTCAATATGTTTTTTCCCTATTCTGATTATTTCTTTTTCTATAAATTTTTTATCTACTCTATTATTCTTTTCTTCATTTTCTTTTAATTTTCTGACTTCAAGTTTTAATATATTTATATCATTTCTAGTTTCTTTTATTTCATTCTTAATTTCTTGTACATCATTAATTAATGTTCTTATGAAATGTTTTAATTCTTCCATATGTTCACTGATTGACATTTTATCTATTTTTTGATTGACAATAATAAAATATTATACACTCAGCATTTTTACACTCTTTTATCATGTTATCATATTTTTGTTTTATAGCTTTAGGATTTGTTAGCTTTTTTAATTTTTCATAATACCTTACTTTTTCTTTATACCTTTCTTGTTTTAATTTTAATATCTGTTTTTCTTGAGTTTTAGTTATATCCCCAGGTATTAATAATTCATCTAAAATTTTATTATTTATTAATCTTATTCTTTCTAACTTCCTATCTAAAATATTCTTAGTTTTTTCCATTATATTTTTATGATGATTCATATATTTCTCTATGATACAATTCATTTTCAAATATTTCGCAAATTATTTCATATGTACGTCTATCTTTGATAAATCCTATAGTTAATTTATGTAATATTTGTTCCTTTATTTCTCTAGGTAAATTCCTAGTTATATATAATGTTATTATTTTTAATTTATTAGGGATGAGGTTGTAAAATATATAACATCCTTTTTCTTCAATACATTGATAATAATTATTTATTTTTAAGATTTCCATGACCTCTATGGCTCTGATACCAAAGGACGGGTGTTACTATGAGCGAACAAAAATCTAATAATCTAAAAATCTAATAATCATGAAACTAAAAATCTAAAAATTTTAATATTTCATAAACTCTTTTATTTTTGCTACTAGGTGTATATAAAGTTTTAAGATAAAAACTAATTTTTTGTATGTTTGTGGTGATCTATTTTTTATTATCTTTTTCATAAATTTTTAAGTAATTCTTCAAAATCTAGTAATGTTTGGGAATTTATAATATCAATATCTGTTATCATATCTATGTCTGTTTTAAAAGGTATATCATATTTTGAGATATTTTTCTTTCTTTTTTCTAATTTATCTATTATATCTTGTATATCTTTTATAATTATTGTTCTTACAATTCCTTTAGCAAACTTTTCTAATAAATTTTCTTTGAAACATTTTAATATTTCTTGTGATGCATATAATTGTTCTTGATATCCTATCTTATCAATTTCTTTTTCAAACTTAATTTCTTTTTTATTTTTAACAACCTTTTTTATATTATATGGTCCTCTCTTATATTTGAGTTTTTCTATTTTATGATTATTCATTAATAATTCTCACAAATTTTTAGAAAAAATTATTTGTTAATTATTTAAGGACTTAAATAGAAGATTTATATTAGATAAAGGGTTGTTTTTTAATATTTGTTAAAAGGTGTTTTTGGTAGTTCAAAATGTTTATAAAAGTCAAACACTATTTTGAAAAATGGCTAACATATTTGGGTTATTTTCATGCATTTCCCTATTCTTTACATTATTCATAAATAATTACTGATATGAGCTGTGAGCCATCAAACTCTCATCCCTCTCTCCGTTTACTTTCCTGGTTTTTGATTTGATTTGATTTTCAGTGCTACAACCTCCATTTCCATGACCTAAAGCTATAAATCCCTTTCCATTTTCATTCTGACGAAGACGAAAGGCGTACACGGTTGTTATCTTGAGTCAAATTACGCAGGTGAAATGAGAAATTTTCCGTCATATGTCCATGATTCACCTACCAAAGATGAACGGCTCAGTCACAGTGGGCCTATAGGACTCGTCAATTTTGTGGTCGAGTATATATCAAGATTGTCACCCCAACATAGAACATTGGTATATGATATTTTATACAGTCCTGACTTTATGGATATTGATGAAGAATATATACAAGCAGATAGAGATTTCATTGGTATTGATAAGTTAAGAGACGGAGTCCTTTTCCGAAAATTTGTGTCACATGGGCAAGAGCTTAAGGTTTTCTTCCAAGTCCCAAACAAGCTAATCCTGTCAAGTATTAATCCAACTCTCAATCCTAATGAAGCTGTTGCAGTCGCAATCAACTTTTTCCTCCTAATGGTAGAAGCGATCCTATGTTTTGAGGAAGATTTAATTGGTTCTGTAAAAGGTTCATTCGAAATTCTGCACACAGAGCTTGGATTTCTTATTACTTTTCTTGGTGATAAAGCAATGCATTTGCAGCCCACCATCACCAAGAATATAGTGATTAATATCGAAGCTCTGGTTAATGAGGTAGGAAATTTCTTTTACTCCTTCTTTTTCACCATTATTGCATTCACGAAAATCAGTAATGCAACAACTGATATCGAAAATATGGTCAATGAGGTAAAATGTTACTGGGGTTTCACGAATCACTCATGGTTTGATCTTCTACATCCTGTGAGAATTCTTAATCGGCTAGTAGAAAATTGCCCCCCCTGGGGCAGAGAACGAAGGAGAATCCCGCTCTATGACCCTTTCAAGGGTGAAGGGCTGTGTAGAGGATGGGATATACGATGGGGAACCACTGAAAATATCAAATCTCTGTTACGGAGATGCTTAGATTTCTTCATGTTCACCGAGACAAGAACATTGAATCTTGCATTTTCATATTTGTTAAGGAAGTTTGATCTCTTGAAAACAAAGATCAAGAAACATTGCATCACAGTCTCAAATATGCCGAGTGATATGGCTCCAAAGACTTCGGTGGTTTCACCCTTCATTGTTGATTCCGTTCTTGATGATCTCAAGGACCTATTAAATAACAAGTCTGACAAGATTGTTGGGGTGAACGATCAGATTGTAATGCTTCATGAGGAGCTAATGTTATTGGGATCTTCTGTCAAGGACATAGCGGTGCACCAGGCAGCAGAATATGAAGAACTTGTGATTCAAGCCGGAGACATAACATATGAGGTTGAATATGTTATCAACTCATTTCTTCATGTTTGGTATCTCGCCCTCCGGCTTCCTCAACTCATTGAGAAGATTCAGCTTTTTATGATGGCTATCAAAGAAATAAAGAATAACGTTGATGCAGCTGGAATGCCAGAAGTTGCAGCGTATCCAGATGAACAAATATCGCTGCAATCGAAAAAATCTCCTGCTTTGGAAGACACTATTGTGGGGTTCAAGAAAGTGGCAACTGAAATTGCAGAACAACTTGTTAGAGGAACAGACCACCTGCAAATTATTTCCATCTATGGGATGCCTGGACTTGGTAAGACCACTTTAGCAAATAAACTGTACAATGATCCCTCTGTTGTCTATCGTTTTGACAAGAGTTCCTGGTGTGTTATTTCTCAAACATATAATAAGAAAAATGTGTTGATTGAAATTTTGAGCTCAATGAGTAACAGTAAGAGAGAAGCATTTATGAACATGGAAGAAGAAAAATTGGCCGAAAATATTTACAAAAATTTAAAAGGAAGGCGATACCTTATTGTGATAGATGATATATGGGATGTCAATGTGTGGAATGATTTGAGAAGGTATTTCCCAGATGATGGAATTGGAAGCAGAATCTTATTCACCACTCGAAATAAAGAAGCTGCTTCGAAAGCTTCTTCTCGTAGTGTCATAAATACACTTCCTTTTCTGTCAGAAGTTGAATGTTGGGAATTACTACAACGAAAAGTCTTCCAAGATAAAAATTGTCCCCAAGAATTGATACACATTGGGAAGCAAATTGCAACAAATTGTAGCGGCCTACCACTCGCGGTGGTCGTGATAGCTGGAGTTCTAGCAAATATGGAGAAGAAAGAACACTTTTGGCAGGAAGTTGCAAGAAATCTTAGTTCATATATATCCGAAACCCCCGAAAACTGCTTCCAGACATTGGAACTTAGCTACAAGCATTTACCAATGCATTTGAAACCATGTTTTCTTTACTTTGGAGCATTCGAGGAAGACAAGGAAATCTCAGTAAAAAAATTGATATGGTTATGGGTTGCTGAAGGATATATAAGGAAGGAAGAGCAAAAGTGCTCAGAAGATGTGGCACTAAAATATCTTATGGAACTAATTGATAGGAGCTTGGTAATTGTTGTTAAAAGAAGATTTGATGGAGAAGTAAAAACTTGTAAGATTCATGATATATTACATGAAATGTGCTGCAGAATAGCTGAAGAAAAAAAACATTTGAAGATGTTCAAATTGTAAGTTCACTATTTCTCTTCTTTTTTCCTTTTCCTTCATTTTTGTTTTAGCCTACTAATAACGGTGATTATATCTGATGATTGTACCAATGATGTGACTATGTTGTTAACAGTAATCATGATGATCCACAGTTCTTTAGTCAAGTATTGATGTATCAGCAACACCGTTGTCTGAGTATAGACTGCAGACCATTTGCAAATCGCTTACTACTTTCTGGCCGACTTGTGCGCCCTCCTTTAAACTCTCGCAGCTTCAAAGTTCTTAGGTTTTTGAAGTTCTTGGATGTTTGCGCTGATTCGAAACGTCGTGTCCCAATAGGAAATGAACATCTGCCACCAATGGAAATATTTCACAAACTAGAATTTCTTATTTTGGAGAATACACATCGAGTTGAAATACCTGAGATCCTTCTTAATATGGTGAGTTTGAGACACATGCATTTCAGTGGCGGTGCATGCTTCAATGCATCTTGTCGTCAGCAAGCAACTGAGGATGAAAACTTCCTTATAAATAATAACTTGCAAAGTATTTCTGTGCTGTTAATTTACGATGCAACAGACGAGAAAATTTTGAGATGTTTATCCAATCTTCGCAGACTGAAAGCCAGGGTTACATATTCACTCAATCATTCTTTCGAATTCCTTAATCAGCTCGAATCACTGAAGTTATTACCTGATCCGAATAATGTACGAGATCCATGTTTCACATTGATCAGTCTGCCCTTAAATCTCAGACAATTGACTCTAGTTGATGTACACATGTCTCCAAAACAATTGGAGGTAATTGGGAAATTGCAGTGCCTTGAGATTCTCAAACTAGTTCAGGTTTCCTTTGAGGGAAGACAATGGGACACAAGTGAAGTTGAATTCCCACAACTTAAATTCTTGAAACTTCGTTGGGTACAAATTGCAGAATGGAATGCCTCAAGTGATAATTTTCCAAGACTTCAAAAACTAGTGTTGCAAAATTGCTACAATCTGAAGATGATTCCTCCCAGTTTAGGTGATATTCTAACGTTACAGAAGATTGAGGTGCATTGGTGCGCAAAAGCTATCAGAGAATCTGCCAAGCAAATTCAAGAAGAACAAAAAGAAAATGGAAATGAAGAGCTTAAAGTCGTAATCACTGAATGGTAAACAGAGCATCAGTTTTTGCAGGTATACTACGTTGCTCTAAGAACTCCCTTTCCGCTTATTTAATTTGATTTTAAAATAATTTCTTAGATATTAACTTTAGCAGCCTTATGAGATATTTCAGAAGGTAATTAGAGAGCTCTGCTCTTTTACTCATTCCCATTTTCAGCTAGATCCAGGTATTGTGTGTAATACTAAAATGAAAACATCAAAGAACTTCTAATGTAATTTCGCCTTGTAATTTCCTCTGTAAAATTAAGTTCAAAGATGATTTATAAACTCATTTTGAAATGATTATGATATATTTGAGTTATGTTTTCTTTGCTTATTTATTTGAACGGGATGGATTTTATTTCATCTACGAATTCATCACATCATATTAAGGCATATATAAACAAAATCTAAAGAATTTTTCATTATATCATATTCAGATTGTGAAACTAACAAATTTCAGCCATGACAAGAAAAAAAACGAGATTATTGAAGATTTATTAAATGGTAATTACGGAAAACATGTTGATCATTGCATTTTCAGACAATTTTCCCACAATAAGAATAATGTAGTAGAGTAGAAAGTTTTTGTGTTGCCAACTTCTGTTGCTGAGAACATTCTTCATATGCTGGTGCTTGCTTCATTCTTATTTTTGATGTACAAATGAGTACTTTTTCTGTTTGATTTTTTAGGACAAAAGATGGTACTTTCTTCTCAGTAGATTAAGGAGTGTTGGTGTTTATGAAGTAGGTGGCAATTCAATAGATTTGCATCTCCATCCTCTTACCACTTTTTCTGCTCTTGCTTGTTAATTTGGGAGTTCTTATTGTATTTCCTTCAATTTTTGTTTCTCCTCGAACATGTTTTAGGCACAAAATTAATTGTAGCTTATACGAACGTGTTTGTTGGCATTCCATTTGACCGTATTGACAACTTCACTTCAATCGTGTAGTAAATGTCTCGTGCTAGATAACTTGATCGAAATATAGCTGCAAAAGCATGAATGTGGTCTATTATTACATAATTTTGTAACTTTTCAATATTCAGCAGCTGTAACAGTACGAGCATTATATAGATAAAATCAAGTACCAACTACGGTTGCAGCAAAGCTTGCCGCGGCAGTTTAGTCCCCAGTTGTATGAATGACACTTTTGGTCCCAACTTCAAACCTTCAAACGTGCGTAACTTTTGATCCACGATTTCGAATTATGATCCCTTTCTTGCGTTGAACTCTAAATTCAATTATTTTTTCAATGGTATATCAATTTATCCTATTGAGATATTTGTACAAAAATTTATGTTCTAATTTTTCTTGCATGTTTTAAACTTGGGCAGCTGGCTCCTCATTTCACATCTTTTGGTTCTTTTATATCTAAGTCCCTATTTGATTTAGATAAAAATCAAATTTTTAGTGGATTTTGAGAAAAAAATTGATAGAATTTGTGATTTAAAAGTTGTTGGTCTCATGAAATATGAGGTTAAAATTAATTAATGACTTTAACTTAGATTTTAATTCATTTTTTTAGTTGAACCAAACATGAACTAATTTCTTTCCTTCTGCATCAATCATCTTCAAATTTGGGGTTTTAACATATAAACTCTTAATTTGCATACTGTTTCGTAAAGACAATTTTGGTACATTTTTTCTCCAAATCTTAAATAAATAAATGCATTACTTTTTTATTAATCATTTTCATACACTCACGCTATTTAAATACCAGCACTTAAATTGCACATGGCCTCACTAGTATAATTAAAAACTATTTCAAGGTATCAAAAAATCTTGGCGTGGATGATTTGTTGAAACGATCGAATAATGAACAATAGACAATATGTAGAATCTCTCATTCAATTCAAAACAAGTCGATGCCAATGAACTTAGTCCCCAACCTTCGATCGCTAGTAGCGATCGTCCTTCTTCACCGCTCATCCAATTTCATTGTTAAGATGGTACGAAAAGAAAATTTTACATTCCACTCTAATTAAAATAAGAATAAAAATTTGAACGTGTTGCACGAACGGAAAGGACTAGTTATGCAGAATTGTAAAAGTTTGAGGACTATAATGGTACACAGAGGAAATAAATATATGGTAGCGATATTCATATTCACAGTTTTATATATACATCAATTTTCAAAAAGATAATTATATTATATTTTTTATCGTATGTAAATTTACCTAAATAGATATATATAAAATTAATAAAAATATATCATTCTTAATTCATCCACTCATATCTATTTTCATTAAATTATTTTGAACATTTTTATATTCTTTTAGAATTCATGTTTAACTAAACTCCTGATAAACATAATATATCCAATTCAACTAAAATCATAAAACCCTAATAATCATAAAATATTCACTTCAACTGAAATCAAAACAACAATGGGAGAGATACCATTAGAGGAAATACATACAGACATGACAATATATGAAGAAGAATTTGAAAATGTAAGAATTACGTTTTATTGTTTTTTTTTTATATTCAATCTGTGGATTATACACGTTTACTGGTTAATTTCTTTCCATTTTCTTGATTATAAGTATTGAAAGTTGATTTTTGAATTCATTTTAATCTTCAGTACTATCAAGTTAGAAGGTTAACGATAGCTGTTTTGCATACCAGCTCTAATAGTTCTTATAGAAGGAAGGCAAATCAACGAAAGAATTCAGCATATTTCAGTTCTTACATCGGATTATTACATTTCTCTTTCATGTTGTTGTTAAATTAATTTTATATTGTTGTCAATTCTTTTGCTTGTTTCACGCTGGAGTTATATCCATTTCAATTTATTTCATTTCAACTTGAAATCTGTGTGTGGGCACATTTTGCATTTCAAAATGAAACAGCACATCTCAAGGTTCTTGGTAAATATTCGTTTGTGGAGAAACAGTAATTGGCCATGAATGGTTTATGAATTATATGCAGGCTGGAGCAAA